AATAATTACTGGTTAAAATATCGATTTTTTTAATCGATTTTTTGGAAGAATCGAACATCCCCCTGGACGTGATTGCCGATCCTGGATCCGTCGAGGGAAGTCGTGTGAGAACTGGACGAGGGGAGACGTTGGTTGTGGGGAGGCGGGAAGGGGGTGGCGGTTCAGCGCGCCGAGGGAGGAAATGAGACTCACCTGCCTGACGGGCAGTAGGATCGCCTGCATTCGGACGTATAGTTCGAACGGTAGCCGAAGCTGCTCGACGACGGGGACGAGTAGAAGTTGGTGGGTCGATCGAGTATCGACGAGGAAGCAGTAGTTCGGTAGGTGGTCAGCTTCGAGGTGGACGTGCCGATAGCGGAGGTGCTGGTTCCGGCGCTACCGCTGGAACATCGTCTGCTGGGAGAATGCGGCGCCATTGGACTGGTGCTGTACGAGACTGCTACGGCGCCCGCCTGGCCCCCACGATGATACGACATTGCACCCGGGTCTCACCGGTCTCTCGCTATCTCTCCCTCCCTCTCCCACTCTCCCTCTCGTTCTGTCTCTATCTATCGCTTTATCGCTCTAGGACTCGATCTCTGCGAACCCCTTTCCTGAATTCCAACACAATTGAGGAGAGATCGGTCAGTAAATCCGGTGTTCACTCTCTAAACAATTTTCTACAGCTAATTTCTTTTCCACCACGGGACCTCACGTGGTTAGAAATCGTCGAGCTCTTAAAATCAGATAAGACCGTCCGTGTCTATCGACGTGTGCGACGCGAGAAACGCAGCGATTAAAAGAACAGCTTCGCAATGAGAATCGTATTCGTGTTAAAGAAAAACTGATTTCTTTTTATAAATCCGGAATCGACCTCTGAGCGATGATTAATTCTAATCGCGCGCAGTGCGACCGCATGAAACGTTCCGGAGGAATAAAGGGTGATTTTCCAGCTTCAGCGTCGACCTTGCGGCTCGGCCGAGCTACTTCACCTTGTCCCCCTTTTCTTTCACCACGGAAGAATCTACCCGGTGGACGGGAAAAAATCGACTGCTGGCAACGAGACCGCATTGCGTTATGCGATCAATCGGGCATCGATTCACTCTTTTGTTTTTCGTAGTAAACAGAAGGGAAGTTTCGGTCGAATACCGGAAGTACCGTAAAACGAAGAAATGCCAAAGGTTACTGGGTCTCTTAAGGATGTATTGGCTATACAGTCAATCCCAAAAGTTTATGCACTTTAGAAACACATTTTTTAAAAAGAAATCAGACGTCGGAAGAACATTGCTAATAATAAATAACAAAAAAAAATTTTCGTTTTTGGCCAATACCTCCCAAACCATTGGACATACGGAA